AGAGGAGGCCAGCCTGAACACTGAGGGAAGAACAGATTCCTGTAGCTCTGTGGCTAGGTTGAAAAGAAAGTACCTATCAGGTTCAGTAACAAGAGATGGCACTTTCTATAAATATGTTGTAGAACTACAAGAACCAAATAAGGTAGCGCTGTAGCCAAAAAAAAGAAAAAAGAAAAGAAAAGATCAATAGTACAGATGACATGCTTCAGAAAGAGGCAAAAAATGTTCAAGAACTTAATTTCTCATAAGAGAAGGCAAAGCCAATGAAGGTAGGGAAAATCAAAAATACATTTCAAGTTTTAAAGTAGGTAAACCATCTGTATTCATAAATGCAATTAAAGAACACATTTAAGGACAAAAATATTTGAAAAGAAATAACACTACAGAGGCAAAAAAAAAAACCAGACTAGATAAATATTTTTTGGTAATAAGAAATTAAGGATTACAATGTATAACCCATAACCAAATACATGTCCTTTCAAAATAAATTACCTAGGATTCTCTCTGATGAATGAAGACAGGATGGGAAAAATCTACTTACCAATAGGAAATATGAAGAGGAAATAAAATGGAAGCAAGAAAGGAATGAAGTATATTAATCTGTCACTGCAACATTAAGCCAGAGGAAAGCAACTGAAAAGGAGAAAATAATAATGTGGGCTCAGGGTTTGAGAGATTTTTGTCCATGGTCACTTGGCCCTATCACTTTGGGCCTGTGGCAAGGGAACAGATCATGCTGGGAGCACATGCAGAACATAGCTATTTACCTAGAGGCAGCAAGGAAGTAAAGAGAGAGGAAGAGGCTAGGCCAGGGCCCCTTATCCTTTAAGGGCTAACTTCAGTGATCTAACTTCCTCTGCTAGGCCCCACCTCCTAAGGTCTACTATTTCCAATAGTGCCACCACACACTGAACCAAATTTAGCCAGGAGGTCTCAAATCATAAAAGAATAAAAGATCTTATTCAAGACAAAGTAATACAAGGTCATCTTGGACTATCAAGTTTAAAACTATTAAGTACATTTGGTTTGGGGGGGAAATTAACTGCCTTGTATTTAGAAAGAAAAAATTTTAAATGTTTCTTCTTTTGATCTGATAGTTCTCCATGTAGGAATATATCCAAAGGAAATAACCCCAAGTGCTAAAAGTCTTATGCTTAAACATTTTCACAGTGATATTATTTATTTGGAAAAAGAAAGAGCTACCATTTAGTGAATGTTTACATCAGAGATGTGGGTTTTGTGAATTTTTTTTGTAAGTTATCCCATTTGAGTACCACATCAGTTCCATAAAAAATATAATCACTATGTCAAAGAAAAGGTAAAATGCTTTTATATGCTAAGAGAAATGGAGTTCTCTAAGAAAAGTGATATATACACATATTTTTACTCATCCATTCAATAGAATGATAATGTACTGTTTGTAAAGAAATGGAAAATCCTAGAAAAAATTATGTTAAATGAAGTTAAGTCAGGCCCAGAGAGGATACAGGTTTTCCCTTATATATAAAAGCTAGATTCCGCGTAGAAACTTATAAGCAAATACGTTGGGTGGTATGCCAGTGTATACAAATTATTAACTGAAATAGAGTCAATTCAAGGAAGGACTCATAGTGCCTCAGAAGGCAAAGTCAAAGTTCAGCAAAATAGAACACAAGATAGAATGGGGTGAGGTAGGGTCAAGAGAAAGGGGGTAGACAAATAAAGAAGGAGAAGAGAGAGAGAATGTAGTCAAGAATACAAGAAGAGTTCTCCTTGCAGCGTCGGTGTGAGAGCAGAGTCCGAGTGGCCACCGCGAAGAGTCATGGCCGGACAAGCATTTAGGAAGTTCATTTCTCTGTTTAACAGAGTGTTGGTCGAAAGGAGTGCTGCTGAAACTGTAACCAAAGGAGGCATTATGCTTCCAGAAAAGTCTCAAGGAAAAGTATTGCAAGCCACAGTAGTGGCTGTGGGATCCGGCTCTAAAGGAAAGGGTGGAGAGATTCAGCCAGTTAGTGTGAAAGTGGGTGATAAAGTTCTTCTCCCAGAATATGGAGGCACCAAAGTAGTTCTAGATGACAAGGATTATTTCTTATTTAGGGATGGTGACATTCTTGGGAAGTATATAGAGTGAATATATCACTAAAATGACATCCTGTGAAGCTGCCCATTCCATGGAAGTTCTGAGATCTTTCATCTGAGATCTACCATCACTTATAATAAACTGATGGTAACTAAAAAAAAAAAAAAAAAGAATACAAGAAGTGTGTGGGAGGGGTGGTTAGGGAAAGGAGTAACATTGAGCAAGATGCACAATATTCATAAACTGCTTTGTTAACTGACAACTCCTTTGGACAACTACTTAAATGATTATAGAAAATTAAGAAAGAGTAAAAATGGAGAAACTATAAATAAAAACATTCAGAATAGCTAAATAAACTGAATAATTTATCTGATGAACATTTTAAAATTTAAATACATAAGTACAAATAGAAAAATAGTTTAAGATAAGATGTTAATAAAAATGCAAAATAAAACATTTTTGTATTCATTATGATAGAAACATTTGTATGGAAAGAAAGAGTGCAAGAAAGTACATAAACACTAACCAAACACAACAAAACTGGACTAGCAGCCAGTTCAACCAGCATTTCTGGCTAAGTAGCCCTGAGAACAAAGCAAAGAGAAGTTTTGTTGTCAGCCAGGGACAAGGAGGAAGGGAGGCCCAGAGAGACTCCAAAAAGCTAAAAAAAAAACGGTGTGGGTAATACAGAAGAGAGAAAATGTAATTCAGGGCAGGTACGGTAAATCTTCGATAACGAGGAGGGCTGTAATTCTTTTCATGGTAAGTTGCTGGGAAAATCATAAATTGGCCACAGTTAAAATGTCAGAAGACTCAAAATCATAAGAAAAAAATAATGAATTTGGCTTACTGTAGAAGTCATACTATACTTTCTGAGAGAAACGAGAGGTGGACAAGAGTAATGTAATTTCTGATGTCTGAATATTTCAATTAGGTTTCTGATAAAACTTGGAAGAAAACAAGTTTTTACTTTTGAGTATCAGAAGAAAATACCTATCCAGATATGCTTTTGAGAATAAAGCCTATGTAATAACCACCTGTGTAACAGATAGAAAATGTCATTTATTAGCATGTCCCCACAGACTAATTTTCAATTGTATACCTACTACAGCATTTTGAAAAATTGTGTACATATCCTAAGTATATGTTTTATAATTCAAACTTTATCTTTTGTTCTGTCCCTCATGTTTCCATGTCCTAGCTACCCTCATATCTTCTTGTCTTATTAAAATATTACAAAAATAAGCCTAGCTTCATGAGTGCTATAATAGGAGGATCAAGATCCAAGGCCCACCATGAAACAAAGCAAAAATCTTAGCTGAACACAAAAGAAAAAAAAACAGTGAGAGAATGAGCTCAAGTAGTAGAGCACCTACATAGCTGACAAGCATTAAGCCCTGAATTTAAAATGTGCATGTGTGTATGTATATGTATTTACATGCATATAATGTATGCATGCCCATAAATATAATTTAATACAGCTAATTTAGACTTTTGGTGGGGTTTGAACTCAGGGCCTTTTTGTTGATAGGCAAGTTTTCTACTTCTGAGTCATGCTACTAGCCCTAGAACTTCTTATCTGTCACTAGTTATACTTGAACTGCACATGAACACACACACACACACACACACACACACACACACACACACACACACACACGGGGGAAAGAAAGCATCAAGTACATAGGTTTATGGACAGAACTTAAGAGCATCCCCAAAACAACTGGCCTAGTACATACTTCTATCTCATATAACATGTTGTCCCAGGCTATTGCAACGAGACTTCGATATACTTCGCTGTCACTTCTCTACTGCAAGTCCTGGGAAAGCAAGGACCATTTCTGCTTGTTTACCAATTAAGCTTTGCTTTGGGTACCAACATGTAGATGTGATTTATCTCTTCAGACATAACCTGTCCCTCAGAACCCCAGTGATCAATCTGGAAATGACCACATAACTAGTCTGTGCTACTACCTGATCTACATTATTTTTTATTCTTATTATTAGGCCCTTTTCCAGTTTAGATATACATGGTTTTCGAGGACTTATAAATGTATATATTTTACTTTCCAAATCACTTTTTACAACCCATATGTAAACTCTTCAGTGAACACATGTTGAATGAAATGACCAGATTTTTAAACAACCTTTAATGCGGTGATATTTCCAAACATGTTATTTATTTATTTATTTATTTTTTGGGTCCAGTTGTGGGGCCTGAACTCTGGACCTGGGCACTGTCCCTCAGCTCTTCAGCTCAAGGCTAGAGCTCTACCACTTGAGCCACAGTGCCACTTCCGGCTTTTTTCATTTTGCTTATGTGGTGCTGAGGAATCAAACCCAGGGCCTCAGACATGCAAGGCAAGCGCTCTACCACTGAGCCATCTTCCCAGCCCAAACATGTTATTTATTGATTGCATTGTATTACTATTCCAAAGAGTGGTGGACAGAAAATGTAGTGTTTCATGTCAATTGAGCTTCGTTTCTAGCTGTCACCTCAGTGCTGGACAAGTTACTTCAAATGTGGTTTTCTGTTTTTCTCCTTGAAATAAGGGAACATTAGCAAGAAACAATGACAAAATCATATATTTATCTATCTCAAACAAAAACAGAACTCAAATGGGGGAATGTACAAGAATGAGTTCTACAAATGGAAGGTGCTAGCCACTCTACCAATATGGAAATGAACTGGTATCACAAGGCTACGGAGGAGAGATGTTGTGGATTGCAGTAACTGTGAGGACGACCACCTCTTGACAATGGCTGACAGGCAGGAGCAAGGTGGTAAGAACAAGAATCCTCAGCGCAGTCTGCTAAACATGCCCCAATCATAAATCAAGGAACATGTTCAACACCCACTGCTCAGAAAGATTACCAGGCACCTGTCACCCTCACCCTTTGGCACTGCCACAAGTCTCTTTGAAACCAAGAGGAAGCTTACCAGACACAAGCTGCTGTCCAGGCAACCCCACGGGAACCATGCCCAAGTTGTTCATGGCTGTGGCCCAGGCTGTGGGATCTGTCACGGACATGTTGAGCTGGGTTGTGTCTATTGCTAGGCTCCCCAAACCATCAGCTGCTGTGGAGAAAGCAAAGTTTGTCTTAGGGTCAATAGGCAAAAAGCTTTAAAGAAAATCTCATTTTTAGAGATACAAGGCTTCATTTTGCACATTCCCAAATGATTAAACAGAATAAAGCAATACCATCTATAGCACTTTTTCCCCTCCAGACATAAACATAAAGATTTTTCAAATACTTTCTGGGAGTTAACTTTATGATATGTATTGTATTATAATCAGTATTCCATTTAGGAGATATTCCTGAAAAAAAAAAAAGAAATAAGGAACCGCTTCCTTCTGTGGGTGAAATATCATTATTTCAGTGGTAAGATTGTGGGGCAAAGCAGCAGCACTGTCCTAGTAATAAGCAAGTCACCTGGCTAGTAGACTAAGGATAAATAAATGCATCTGTCTCCAGGTGCGATTCTGGATCGAGTGTGTCTTCTAATCTATCTACTATGAAAACTGATCAAAATACCCTGTACTCATAAAATGATATGTTGAATTACAATCCCATTTTACAACTATTTACACATAATAAAAATAATATAGAAAAGGAAAACAGTTGCCAACCCTCAGTACTGTCTATAATGTCACATCTTCCTTCCTTTGAATGCATTTTACTAAAGAAAAGTAACTTTTCCAATCCATTTCTTGTAGGCAATGGCTTTCATAAATAAATAAAAATTTAAAACAAGTGGTGCGGAGCTGTTAAAAAAATAGTAGAATATGTTAGATTTGAGTTAATGCTATATGGTTTTCATTAACTTCATGGCCTTGATGGTTTTCAGGACCCCAGCCTCCAGTCCAATGTCTACTTTCATGGCTAAGCAAGCTTTCCCAACCAAAAGGCAAAAAGCCTTCTTCACGTGCTATGCTGTCCAGCATCAGTTACCTGCAGCCATCATCTGAGGAAGTTCCTGGGAGCACTGGGTGATACTCTCAACTCGTCCTGCATCTACCATTGAATTACAAGCATACTGGGAGGCAGGACCGTTTTGATGGCTGAATGCAGGATCCCTTCTGAGATCATCAGATTCTGCAAAAGGGGAAGGAGAGTAGTGAGAAACCTAATAGTTTCAGACAGAACTTCACAGACCAAACTCTACACAAACACAAACAACACAGAGCAACTTCCAGCAGTTGCAGGTAGAAATAAAGCTGTTTCCTGCCCATCTTTTAGCAGTTGTCTTGTGGTTCAGTCAATTGCTTGGAACACCATGGGTCAACCTGTTCGTCCTCTCACCTAGCATCCGGCTGGCTGATAAACAGAACCATCTGTAAGTGCATACAAGCCCTGCCTCCTGAAGAAGGTCCATAGCCAGAGCTTATCAGCCCTGACACAGGTTTTTCCATACACTGTACATCAATAGAGAAGGCAGCCTAGGACCAAGGTGATTTTTCTGTAAGTTAAAAAATTAATTGATGTTGGTATTTTGGATGACTGTTGTCTGTGAAATGAATTCAGAGAGGAAAAATAGGAGGAAGAGGAAGATCCCTCTTACTGTGAGGCTGGCAAAGGTGGGAACTTGAGTTGTAATAGTCAAGAAAAGCCAGAGGGAAGAAGAACACACCGTGTGTAAAAGAAATCTAGAAGGCTGAGGTAGAAAAGAAAAATCATTTGTCTTTTTAGTTGTATGGAATACTAACTTTAGCCAATAGTTGGCTGACTTTTACTTAGAATCACAAAGCCTTCTTAAGCACACATACACATACATTCATAATCCATAGGTTCATGTTTTTACTATAGATTACAGCCTTTTTAAATATGTAAATAACAATAAAATCCCTAGTACAGTTATAAAAGGCCTCTTTATATTGCACTGTAAAATAGTGTGCCTTCTCTCCACTCTTAAAAATGCAAACCCAGAACATTTACGTGTTCTGGGGTTTTCTTGTTGTTGGTTTTTTGGTCGGTTGTGGGACTTGAACTCAGGGCCTGGGCACTGTCCCTGAGCCTCTTTTTTACTTAAGACTAATTCTCTACCACTTGAGCTCCAGTGCCACTTCTGGTTTTTGAGTGATTAATTGAAGATAAGAGTCTCCTGCCCCGGCTGGCTTTGAACCATAATCCTCAGATCTCAGCCTCCTGAGCAGCTAGGATTATGAGCCACTGGCACCTGGAATGTGTTCCGATTTTTAAATGAACCTGCACTAGTTTACCATCTAGACAAGAGATCTGAAAAGTCTGTCCTTAAGGAGTGCTGATGTAAAGATATAAGACTGAATTTAAACACTTGTCTTTATTTAAGTAGAAATATTTTTTTCAGAGCCCTGATGCTGCTAATGACATTTTTAGAATTAAGTGTTTGTTCCTCAAGTGTACCTTATATGAAGTTTGGCAGTATTAGTGTGTGTTCTTGCATTTCTTTGATATTTAGATTGAAGAATAACAATCCCTTAAACACTGAAATGCTTCTTGCCAGTGGAGCAGAAGTTCCATTCAAATGGAAGCCTAGGTCTCAGGGATAGGTGAATAAGGAGCACAGGATTTCCATGGATTCAGCAGTTCACTATCCTCCAACAAGAAGAAGGGTAACACAGTGATTTATTTTTCCCCATCATCTATCATCCAGCAGCGTGAATAAGTCCAATTTTGGAAGTAAACTGTCCTCAGAACACATACTTCACACCTTGCCGTGAAACTCTACTATCCAAATGAACTCAGTATGTGCTTATGTATTATGCCTCAATTACCTCAAGCAATAAGAGAATCAGACAGAGATTCTTACCATAGAAAATAAATTCAATAGCATAAGAAAAACAGAGCTAACCTAAATGGCTGCCCTGTAGCTGTCCATTTACCAGCACTCTTTCTATGATTAAACCTCAAAGCACTTTTCTCTCTCCACTCCAACCATTGCAGAGCACCAAGGCATAGCCAGGCTAGCATGTGCTCATTCTTCTCTTAAATGGCCCCGAAGTAGAGCTGTCTTGGATCATTGCAAGGTCACTATTTGTCTTACTTATCTTCCAAATGAAGTGTAGTTGGCTGGCTTCCTTCTAGCTCAGATCTCTCCAAATGTGCATCAATCACATCTTTTTCCTTTCTTTCTTTTTTTTTGTCTAATGAGTTTGCAGATCTGGAACATTATGTCACAGAACATCCCTTAACTTTGTAGGCTTTATGACTTGTGCCTCTCCGGTCACATTTCACCTTGAATTTTTGCCACAGTATTTTAGTATGGTATTCACTTTCCTTGACTCTGTAACTGTCTGTTCCAGTGGTACTTATCAGTGGATTACAGTCATGCTACACAGGGACATCAAGTGGCTTGGAAACCATAGCTCCTTCCTATACTTTTCTTGGCCACCTTAACAAACTGCTCCTATTTCATTGGGAAAAAAAAAACACCTTGTTCCATTAGGAAAATGTGGTTTGTAAACCTTGATTTATCCCCTAATTGAACTCTGTGACATGCAATTTATTACATCCCTCCCAATCTCCAAAGTAATGGTTTTAATGACATACAACTTCATATGGCTAGCAAGTACCTAGCATAGGGTCTCTAAGATAAACTCAGTCACATCCTAAGCATTTCTGATAGACTCAAGACTGCCACACGATTGTTTACAAAATGCAAATTAATTTTATCACAAGACTTGGAAGAAAGTTGAGATTTATAATGAATTACTTCCAGGTAATTTATGAATAGCTGCAAGAACTATTTTTGTACTCAACTAACATCTATTGTTCCTATTGAATATCTGCCTCTTGAAATGATTCAAGACTACAATGCCTAATTTATCATTCAAATCAATTTATCTGCCTTAGTTTTCTTATATCTAAACTATAGAAAAGATTTTCGTAATGATGTTTATTTACACACAGATGTGGGGAGTTAAAAATTATGGCTAATAAAGCACTTCGAATTTGGTAGGCGATAATTATTATTATTTTATTTGCAAGTGTAGTGTTTCCATTAAGGTACCCTGGGATCTTTGTGTTCTAGTGGATAATTATGTAATTAATTATAAAACAGTGAATAACACTTGATATTTCTAAAAGGAAGTGCTGCCCTAGTTTTCTGAGCCACACCTAAATTGGAGCAGGATATTTTTCCTTACAATTCCTTTAAAAATAATGTCACTTAAAAGATACATGATTTTTTTCCCCCTCTAGATTTTTTTCCTTCCTATTCAAGTACAAAAACCTTTCTAACTGAGATTTGAGGATCATGGTTCAAAGCCAGCCTGGAGAGGAAAATCTGTGAGACTCTTATCTCCACTAAACTACTCAGAAAAAGCCAGAAGTGGCTCTGTGGCTCAAGTGGTAGAGCATTTGCCTTGAGCACAAAAAGGCTCAGGGATAGTGCCCAGGCCCTGAGTTCAAGTCTCAGGATCAACAAAAACAAAAACAACCTAAGAGATTTATGATAAATTATGAAATTAGAAGCTTGTAATTACAGGTTTTACTGAGATGTGATTATCACAAAACAATCAGATATGTGAAATGTCAAGTACAAAAGTAGCTCTTTCCAGAGTTTAGTGAACATCATTGGGTTTGTTTATTTTTTGTTTCATTGGCTGTGGGGTTTGAACCCAGGATCTAGGCACTGTCCCTGACCTCTTTTACTTAAGGCTAGAGCTTTTCCACTTTGAGCCACAGCTCTACTTCTGGTTTTTGGAGCTAAGAGTCTCACAGGAACTTTTCAGCCCAGACTGACTTTGAATCACGATCCTCAGATCTCAGCCTCCTGAACAGCTAGGATTACAGGAATGAGCGACAAGCACGGACTTAACCTGTTCTTTTTAAATTTAAGACACATTAAGCCCACAATCAATTGCATGTTCAGAACTGTTCAAAGATGTATTTATGCCCAGTATTTCCTTGGGATGTAACAACAGAGCCAATACGTTTTGAAACTAACCAAGAACCCTATGAAAATACTACTTGCCCTACAAAGGACACAGGTTACTCCCTCTTTTACTAATAGGACTCCTTCTAGTCTTCATCACTTACAGGTATCAGGGACACATATTTTGAATAATAAAAACCTACCTATTCCTGTCCATAAAACATAGATTTTGTTAGCTAGCTACTTATAGGCACTGAATTTTGTAATTAAAAATGACTTTGTTGGATCTAATTCCTTAGATTCATGCCTAGTTTAGTAACAAAGTAATTATAATGAGAAAAACAGAATTATGAATACCAAAAAAGAAGCAATAGGAAAGGAAACTTATTTTATGTGATGTCTGAAACTTTCTTGTTAAATAGGAATTCTTCATTAGTATTTCCATGGTTAGTATTTACAATAAAAAGGAAGATGGTTTTCCATCCAAAGTTCACTCTGCTATCATTGAGTAAATATTAACTTTGGTCTTCATGAAATTGGTAGCATATTCATTGGAGCTTATAGAAATGTTCAACAGATTAAAACAGTAGAAAATACTACTAAAATCTCTTATGTATTAATATTAGGTAATTGTCAATGAAAATAGTAAAGGAAGCATTTCTCTTTTCAATTGGAAGTGCAGATAAATTTTTCCTTGGAAAAACAACTAGAAAGCTTAGTGTCTTTCATCTGCTTGATAAAACTTTCACTATTACTTCTCCACAAAGGATTTGCTCTAGTTACTGCAGAGAGTTACTACATAGGCTTCTCAGGGGACTAGGTTGTGTTAACTACTGGGTATTTCATTTTACTGATCAGGGAGTTGAGAGGAATTTACAAGATTGAGGGCAGAGTGGAATTTCTCTGTAGAATGTGATAAAAGACAAAATCAGACTGCCTTGGAGGCAACAGAGATGTGATCTGTGGCCATGCATGATCATGGGGGATTATAGAGAAAATACGTGACTAAAGTACATGTTCAGTGGGCTCACTCCAAGTACACAATTTAAATGTTCCTTCTATTTCTTCTGTAGAAATGTTAGTCAACGTTAGACTATACTACTCCTTAATTCTTAGGAGTATTTTTTTTTCTAGTACTAGAGTTTGAACTCATGGTTCACACTTGCCTCAGCTTGTGTGACCACCTGGTACTCTAATCCTTGAGTCACATCTCTAGCTCAGATGTTTGCTAGTTAATTGG